GTCGTGTCCCCCCCCCCTTGACACAGGAACAACCCATTTAAAAAATTTATAATGTTTTTTGTGTGTGTGCCTGAGTGTGTGCATACCCATATGGTCCAGATATGCAAACATGTCACAGTATATGTGTGTGTGGATGACAACTTGTGTGAGTCAGCTCTTTCCAGGCTTGCAGCAAGTGCTTTCACCTGCTGAGCCATCTCAGCGATCCACAGTTTCCTTTTTTACTGCCTCATTGGCACAATGAGGCTTGGTGGATATTAATGAAAGATGTCAATAAAATTACACGGGATGTCATTTAATTACATAGCTTCATATTTAATGCTGAAGAGTTTTGAATAAGAAGAAATGATAGGGAACATGCTACAGTATATAGGCTCAGGTAAGAACTTCCTAAGGAGGGCATTATTCACTCAGAATTAAGACCAATCATTGAAAAATGAGAGCACTGTGAAGCTGGAAAAACTTCTGTACAGCAAGCAAGCAAATAGTTGATTGAGTCAAGGGATGGTCCACAGAATAAGAGTAGTTCTTCATCAGTTCTATAATCCAGAGAGGATTAATATCTAGAATACACAAAGAACAAAAAAAAAAAAAAAGTACCAAGACAACAAAGAACCCAATTACAAAATGAGCTGTAGATCTAGCCAGAGTTTTCAACAGAAGAAATGTAAATGGCTGATCAGCATTAAAAAAAAAACTCAACAACAACAAAAAAACAAACCAAAAAAAAAAAAAAAAAAAAAAAAAAAAAAACCACTTTGAGATTACATGTCACCCAGTCAGAAAAGTTGTCATCAAGAGACAACAACAACAAATGCTGACAAGGATGAAGGGAAATGGGAACCTTATTTACTGTTGGTGGGGGGTGGAAACTGGAGTGGTAACTATGGAAATCAGTGCAGAGGTTCCTCAAAAGTCTGGAAATAGAGGTAATATAAACAGTCTGTACCATATCCTACTATAGAGGCACATGCTTATCCATATTCATTGTTGCTCTGTTTGCAGGAACTAGGAAATGGAATCAGCCTAGAAGTCCATCAGCTGATGCATGGATAATGAAAATTATCCATTGCACAATTGAATTTTATTCAGCTGCAAAGAAAAACAAAATTAGGAAATACGAAAGTGGATGGATAGAGATAGAAATAATTATCCAGAGTGAGATATCCCAAATCCAGAAAGACAAGTGCCTCATGTTCCTCATTGTATGGACACTAGCTTCAAACTTCTAGTTTGTTGTGTTTAACTTGAAGTACCTTCAGAAGTGAGAAAACTAGGAACAAACCATGGGGTGGTGATATCCCTTGAAGGCGGGGAGATGTTCGAACATAGGTAATATGGAAAGAAAGAAGTGAAATACTGGGTGGAAAGGTTTAAATAGGGACATGGGAGACATAGGTAAAAGAGATGGAGGGGAGGGTAACAAAATAAAAGGATCTATGGACAAGTCATATAGAAATACTATGTTGTAATCCAATTTTTAAATCATAACTTGAAAAATATATATTTGTATATATATATATGTGTGTGTGTGTGTGTGTGTGTGTGTGTGTGTGTGTGTGTTTGTGTGTGTGTGTTTATAGAGCCACACCCTGAAAGACTGGACAAGGTGGCATATAGAAATTATGGATTATTAAATAAAAATCCCAGTGTCAGATGTGGGACAATGCTTTTAGAGTTGTTGGTCAGGAAAGCCCTATATTCCCTATTGGTTGTCCATGTGAAGTAGATGACAAGACCCTGTTGCTGAAGACAGCACACACACGTTGATTACAAGATATAGAGAAACCATGCTCAAACTGAAATGGAAGCTGTGTAGCTTTCTTAGCACCAGAATGAACTACACGGGCTATTGGGGGAGAAAGGTTTTGATAATCATACCTGGCTGTAAGCTTAAAACAACACAGAACCAACACACCAGACAGAATGTGCCCAACTGTGTGATAGTGGCATGACAGTTATAGTGGTAACCAACTACTCTGTGATTGGACTTCAGGCCCTTTCCACAAGAAAGGATGCATTTATGGTAGAATATATTCTGATTAAAAAAAAAAACAAAACAAACCAACAACAACAACATAACTCATGTCTGGGAAAGTAATAGGCTATAAGCAAGACTCTAATAATGTAGCTTAGTTAAATTGGCACAGCACCAAACTACCTTGTAATTAATTATATTTATGCTCACAGACAAATGGTATTCTCAGCCTTAACTAGAGAAGCCTCTCTTTGAAGTAAAAAATTATGATGTCCTGTTTAGCTTGGGATGGTGAGGGAATGAAGAAAGGACAGAAACACAGGCATATACACAGAAAAGCTGAGAGTGGACTATGCATACTCTGATGGTGTGGCACAGATTATGTGGCAATTGGGAATTATAGCAAGACACGGGGGGATGTGGGTTGTCCCAGTAGGCTGTCTCAGTCTGTAATCATTCAGAATGAGAAAGCTGCAGTTTCTAAGTTTTGCATATATTGCTCAATCATTCCTAAATACTTTTATGTGGACCCCAGGAAGGCTTTGCTAATTTCCTGTGGGTCTGAGACCTTGTTCTCTGACATGGCTATGCCCACGCCAAACAATACACATTCACTTAGGAGTGCAGTCACACTTGCCATGCTCACCCAAGGATTCCATAGCTCCCAACTCAAAACAATGATGCAGAGACACATGACTACTCAAGGGGCTAAGGATACATGAAGATTGAATGTCCAGCCCTAAACATGACATTGAGCTCATGCCTTCTAAGCCTCCAGGAACATTGTGAAAGAGGGTAGGAAAGAAGGCAGAAAGGGGAATTGTGGAATGTTCTTCTGTGCATGCTACAGCCTTTCAGATCATGAATTCAATGCAACAGTGCTCACCTACAGTGAGACAGCATAGGAATGGTCCTGCCAATAGACAGACATGATTGGAGAGGGATTTAAGAGGCCCCACCCTGCCTCCCACTGAAATAGTGGTTACTGATAGATTCTAGAAATTTTCAGAGGCACAGCCGAGTTGAGTCGTCAATAGCAAACCTACCAACCTTCAATGGAGAGTTTCAAACTCTGAGTCATTACAGATGGCCCTGGTTAAACCCATTGGGTCTCAGAAGAAGACAAAAACACATGAATATAGAAAAGGGACCTGTAGAGATGGGGGAGGGGCTGGTAGTGGTGGGAGAGTAAGGGGAGAGTAGTGACAATGTTTGGTATACACATATGAAAATTGAAAAAAAATTAATTAGAAAGACTATTTAAAAAGAAGTGTTGAATAAAAATACATCAAAAAAAAAATCTCAGTGAAAGCTAAATTAATGAACAGATTGTCCTTAGTTAGCTTCCACTGTGTTTCACTTGTCTTTTATTGTATGTAAGGCAATTCAGATGCGGACTAGAATAATCAGAGTAGAAAACTGGCGTGTGCTGAACTTTGCGTTTCCTTTTTACTGTCTCCTTTAAAACTGGTGTAAAGATAGTCCCAAGGTCTTGGCATTTTCTCTCCTCATAGATTTTGTTGTTCATTCCATAGTCCTTTGTCCTTATTTTCTTTTAAAGACTTATTTATTTGTATTTTATGTGTACCAGTGTTTTCCCTGCAAGTATATGTACTATGTGCATGCAGTGCCCACAGAGGCCAGTAAAGGGCAGTAGATTCCCCTGGAATTGGAAGTATGGATGGCTGTAAACTGTCATGGATGCTGGGGAACCAAACGCAGGTCTTCCATAAGAGAAGCTCTTAATTCCTGAGCCACTTCTCTGCTGCTCCTTCCCCTAGTCTTTTTTTCAGTGCTAGCTACGTGTGCCATTACTTGCCTGCATACATATTGGCTGTACGATCTTTGTGGAGAAGATTTATGACTGTCATGGCCAGGTGCTCACACCCAATGCAAAGGCACTTTCAGTTGCAGGGGCAGCATTGACTTGCAGTCCAGGACCATAGTATTTATTTAAGTTCTGCACTGAAAATAGAACTTGGTTTGAATCTTTCTTTCCTGCCCTTCCTTCCTTCCTTCCTCCCTCCCTCCCTCCCTCCCTCCCTCCCTCCCTCCCTCCCTTCTTTCTTTCTTTCTTTCTTTCTTATATAACATTTTAAAAAATGGATTCTTTGGGAGTTTCACATCATACACCCCAATTTCATTCATTTCCTAGTCCTTTCATGCACACCCTCTACCCCATAGCCTCCCCACTATGAAACAAAACCCACTTTACTCCTTCATTTTGCTCACCTCACCATCACATATCTGTGTATTGCCATTGGAAGCTGCTGTGTGTCATACAGATACCCCTTTGCCCAAACAGCCCTTTGCAAATGTACATTGCAATGAGTTGTTAGTCTAGTTTAAGGCCTCTGGCTTCTGCTACACCATCATAAATTCTGGACCCTCATCTAGACTCCTCTCAGATGTCTCCCTGTTGCCCTGAGTCAGGGAGATCCTGCTGCAATGCTTCTACAGGACCAGTACCTTCCTATGCCCCAGCAGGTCATAGATGGGGTAGATGTTGGGTCGTGCCCATTCTAAGCCTAGATGTGTATCTGGGTGGTAGCTGAGTTGGTCAGGCCTGACATCTGCTGAGACCCCCTCCCCTCAGGTGAGGGGCGGAGCCAGCTTTCCCACAGCCCTGCCATCAGGAACAGCTCTCTGGCAACCATAACACCACCAGCACCACCATGCTTTGTGGGGGACAGCTCTCCTGTGGAAAGTAGAGCCAGCAGTCCTGCTGCAGTGGCCAGCACCCAAGCCACTGGGGCCAGCTCTCCTGTGGCGGGAGGAGGGGGATGGAACCAGCTCTCTTGTGCTCTCCATCAGGACCCTCAAGGGGTGGGGCTAGCTCAGCTTGAGCTTTGGACATCAACATGGCTTTAGGGGCTTCCACATGGTCTTTGGTGCTAACATGGACCATGGACATCAACATAGACCCCAGCTACGGTAAGGTTACCGACCCAGACATGGCTCAGGCCAGGAAGTCACTATGTCCTCTCAGGTAAAAATGGTCTAGTAGGCCCAAGGCCCTAAGATGTCAACATGGCCCCAGGTGGCTATAGACCTCCTCATGGTCTTTGCTGCTAAGGTAGGTCATACAATTCAACAAAGACCCCGACTAAGGTAGGGCCATGGACCCAGTCATGGTCCTCACTACACAGGCCCAGACATCATGTGGCCTCAGCTGGCAGTGCAGCAACTCGTATCAGCCATTTCCTCAGGGCGCTCAGGTCTCCAGCTCTGCCCCTTTCCACAGAACATGAACCGCACCACTTCTCTTTCTCGCCCATTTTTTCCACCACATATTTGCTCATCGTGATGGCGGGCAGATCTCTCAGTTTTGGCAAGTTTAAGACCCTAGTGGATAGTCAACAAACATTTATTAAACATCAACTAAAAGGAGCTTTAAGGGAAGGGAAGGGGGGGGGGAGGGGAGTGCTGAGAATCCCAGGTCTTACTGCTGCCTCCACTGTGTTCCTTTTCAAGGCAGACCTGTCTTCGTCTTGGTAACATAGCTCAGCACACAGATTCTAACTTCTTTGTCTGTGCAACTTCATGTTATTTCTTACTGAACCTGAGCCAGGTATGGGGGAGGAAGTTACACACTTCTAATCTTTTCCTCCCCGCCTTTAAATCTTTTTGAGGCTGTTTCACAGTGCAGCTCAGGCTGGTCTTGAACTCCTGATTCTTCTGCCTTGGCCTCCCCAGATTACAGGTGTGTGTCTCAATGCTTGGCCTTCACTCCTGGTTTCTGATAGAACAGTTTACAGTACATGAAAGAGGATTGTGAGAACAAGTTATGTAGTGAGATATCCACCCTGCTTGCACCTGTTGCACTGACCACGCCCCATTGGGGCGTGGGCACAGGTGTGGACATGACCTGTGGAGAGGTTAGGTCTGGACCCCAGCTAGCTCTCTTGCTTCCTGGTCCGGTGTCATACTTGGAGCTGGGACCGGCAGTCATTTGTTTCAGGTGTAAGTGATTTTTCCACGAATAAACATCATTTGACCTATACTGTGTCCCAGTGAATCTTATTTTCCATGCAGTAACGTTAGGTACTTATTTGGGATCTATCTGGACTTGATGATTCCCTCTCTGCCTCCTAGGTTATGTATGCAAGGAGTGAAATTACAAGTCTCTTCTGCTTTGTGTGAGGTGCAAGGCAGCCAGCCACACCGTATAAGTTTGGGTTGATGAGCTGATCAGGTCAGAACTGGCCAGAAATGGCTTCCAGAATGAGAGCCAGCATCCTGAGAGGTCATGCTCACAGGTCCTCCCTCCCTCCCTCCCTCCCTCCCTCCCTCCCTCTCCCCCTCCCTCCTAGAGTTGTTCTCTCTCTCTCCCTCTGCTTTGCTATTTTCCTAAAGTGCTGGGCTCATAGGCATGCATCACAGCTCTTAGGTTTTCATTTGTCCTCTCAGTTGTTTCCCCTTCATCTTCATTTATCTCTGTCTGTGACATCTTCATTCCCTGGTCTCTTGCCTTCCCCTACTATGCTCGTGTGCCTATTCCTGTATTATGTTTCTTTTCCTGTCAAACCATCTCTCTTTCTTGTACCATTCAGCTCTGTTTTGTTGTTCTAATGAAATACCTTGGATAATAAACTTACAAGTGAAAGACTTGTTTAGTTTATGGATTTGGAAGTTCCAGGCCATGATTTCTCTTGGTCTCTCCTGAGACAGTACATCATGGCAGGGGTTCATGGCAAAACAAACTTCTCACCTGGTGACTTGGGAAGTAAAAAGAGCAATGGGAAAATATCATGGTCCCATAATCCCTCTTGAATCCACACCCCCCCCCCCCAATGACACATAGACTTCTGGCAAACCTGCTTCTGCTTAAGGTTCCATTGCCCCCTTGAAACACGGGGGACCAAGACTTTAAGACAGGCCCTTGGAAGACACTCATGTAGATTGTAGCATCACATTCCCCTTCCTCTGTCCTTCAATTTCCCTCTTCACATTGAGTACAGACTCATGACTTTTCAACAGCTGTCCCTTGGTCTCTCCTTTTCTTTTTCTAGGAATTTCTTGATGAGACTAGAAAGGGCAGAGTTGGGGGCTTCATGAAATCCTTGGCTGGAGAAAACACACGTGGCTGTGGGAGCTTTTTTTTTTTTTTTTTTTTTTTTAAATCATAGGCAGCCACAAAATTTGATTTGTAGCTAATCCTAAATGTAGGAAAAGCTTTTCAATTACAAAACTCATAAAATGAGGAGATGAGGGAAGGTGGCTGCATTCTGAGTTTGACTAATGGCCTCAAAGTGCTTTGAAATGTTTGGCATTTGCCAGCCTCTCTTTCTTCCCTAATCTTCAACCCCATGGGTTTTAATGGGAAACACAATCCTCTTTTCTAATTCATTTACACTTAGCTCATCTGAGTATTGTTTTCTGAAAACCATCTGAAGTCCAAGAAGTTTTATGAGATCTGTAAAGGCTTGGTTTTTGAACAAGGAACTTGTGTACTGCCAATATAAATGGACCCTAAACCCTAGGGGGGTTTGGGTCCAGGGACTGTGGCATTGAGCTTGGTTGAAACTTGACAAAGGCTGATTTCAATGGCTGACAGAAACTGGGCTTTCACTTTAAGGATTAATAGTGTGTTCAGTATTTGAGATGAGCAGGGATCTCGTGTGATATTACATATGGAACATAGCGCAATTCTTAAGGATTATCTTGCTAGTTATGTAAATAACAAGAGACTTGTATGGAAAACTGACTTTGCTGGCATCTGCCAGAAGCTCCCAAGTGAGGCTGCTTGCTCATGTATATATCTGTATATTTATGGTCGTGTAGACACATATATGCTCTAGCATGTGTATGGGCTCCTAGGGATGGTATGAACATTCCCACTAGAGATTACTTACATGGGAGGTTATAAATTGAATAAAGATGCATCAGAAATGCTCCCCCCCCCCACTGCGGTCGAGAGAAAAGATTGCATTGTATATTTTCAATGGTAGAAAACATTTATAATTTTTTCTTTTTGGTGTGTGCATGGTATATGTAACTGGTGTGTGTGTGTGTGTGTGTGTGTGTGTGTGTGTGTGTGTGCACTTATCTTTATGTTGGTTCAAAGGCCAGGGGAGGACATTGGATGTCCGGTGTTTTCATTTCTGCCTTATTTCCTTGAGACAGTGTCTCTCACTGAATCTGGAGCCAGGCTGATGGCCAGCAACATCCAGCATTACTTTTTTCCCCTTCCTCCTTCTCTACAGTGCTGGGGTTGCAAGCTCTTTCGACCATCTTCTGCTTTTGTGTGGGTGCTGGGGATTTGAACTCAGGTCCTTGTGGTTGCACAGCAGGTGCTCTTCCCTTCTGAGTTATATCCCCAGGAAACACTTTCCTGTGGAGCCACAGAATTGAGTAAAAGCCAGTTTCATTGCAAATACAGTGATTCCAAGCAGAGTCCCACATTATCTAGAAACAGAAATCTAGACAGGTGGAATGACTTGTTCAAAGTAGCAAGGCTAGGTCCTGAGAGTGCTCCAAGCTGTGACCTCTGCAGACAGCTGCTTCTCCTGTGCTGGAAGCAGCATTGGCATATGTCACCCAGCCATCCTGGTCCTTGGAGACCCATTCACTACTGAAGACTACTGAAGACTTCTTGATGGTGATGCTGTCCTGGGTCGTTTCTGACCTTCCTTGGCAACTCTCTTCCTCACTTCCCACACTGTGGTCTCTCTTGTCAAAATGCTCTCAGCTTTGCCTCATACTTCCTCCCCAGTCCCTGTCCACTGCAACTGCCTACTTAGGAAGACCCCTATATGACACCCAAAATCTTCATATCTTCATTGCAGTTAGGAAACATGTGTGGTGGTTTTTTTGTGTGTGTGTGTGTGAATTGTTCACAATATGACAAAGAATTATCGGCTATTCTGTGATATAGGACCGTGGAAATCAAATCCTGCCTTGTGAGATTTCTGTTATTTTTCTCTAGGCTGAATTTACTTAATTCAGTTGTTTATCTTCATTTAATGCTTTATTTAGATCTTGTTTCCCCAATCAGACACAAAGGCTTTGTGCCTTGGGATACTTTGTAGCTCCAGATAGATACAAGGATGCTCTGTGTCTTTATGCCTTTGACTTAGCAGGCTGTAGATAGGCATTTGTTCCCTAGTCTTCTATGTTTCACACAGAACCCAAAGGTGCAGACATGAGACAGCATCTTAACCCTCTTCCTGGCTATGGTTCACTTTGACCTCCATCTGAGGTTGAATTGGAATTACCTTGCACAGAGGGACAAGCTGGTAGGACTGGAAGGGACTTTTCACCCCATTGGCATGTGTTGAGGAAGCAGGGCTTCTGAGAGTAGAGGTGAAATGCCTGTGCCCTGTATTAACTGATAATCATTTTAGGCTGGGGCCCAGGTGTAATTCTTGGATGACAGTGACTCTGAGACAGTGAAGTGTTCTGGAAGGAAGTGGGTGTTCTGGCAGCTGGGCTTGAGGCCCAGTCTTCTCAAATCAAACACTTGCCACTATTTCTGCAAGACACAGAGAAAAGTAGGTCAAGAGATTCCTCAACTTGAAAATTTTTTTCATCATCAGTATTTCTTAAATCATTATCACTTGCTACCAGTTGTCTCAGGCTGATGCATAGAAAGCAAGCAAATTCAAGATAATCATAATAATTAATACAAGAGAAAACCAAAGCCCCGGAAAAGACCCTTCTTAGTTTATACTTTAAAATTTTTGTCTGTTTTGTCTGCATATGTGTATGGGCATCTAGAGGTCAGAAGTGGGCATCAAATCCCATGGAACTGGAGTTATAGGTGGTTGTGAACCAACATGTGGGTGCTGGGAATCCAATCTAGGTCCTCTGAAAGAGCAGCTAGTGCACTTAGTCACTGAGATATTTCTCCAGACTTTTTAAAAAAAGTATACAGCTATTATAATGGACTTGTGATTTCAGGCATTTAAAAGCATGCATTCTGTTGATAACATTCTTTTAATTCAGATGTTTTAGCAGTAAAGATGTCATTTCCTGGTTTTCTCCAAAACTCTCTTTCACACCCCCAACCACAGACAGACAGACAGACAGACAGACAGACAGACAGACAGACAGACAGACAGACAGACACACACACACACACACACACACACACACACACACACACACACACACACACACACATCTACCTACAAGTTCCATTCTACAAGGACCAGGGCAGCCTCTGCCATTTTTTCATCAACACATGCGCCCCCTGCTGCCCTCCCTGCGTTATCGATTCTCCAATGCCTGAAGCAGGGTACCACCAAGCAGGGAATCATCCTAAAGACAACCATCCTTCGGTCTAATAACTCTAATCACTTTCCAATGGACAGCTAAACCTACTTCGGATAGCCTTTTCTGGGGCCCGACCTAGTGTTTTAATCCAACTCCTGCCGACAGTATCCGAGCATATTCAGGTAAAAAAAAGTGCTTGAGCTTCCAACTGTATAGCCCGAATGTATAGGTTGCTAGGAAAGTGCCATTCGGCTACCTTGCCGAGCCCTTTGTCTTCTCCTGGGATTGGGGACCAAGAACTCGGGGAGCAGGGACCTCAGTCCGCCCGACCCATAGTCCCAATCTCTGGATGTGGAGGGTGGTGGCTCATTCTCCAGCTCATCTCTAGCTTTCCCCAATTAGGATTTGCTGCCTGACGTCACGTCTGCTGCAGATTGGCTGTTCAGATCTGACACACGGCTCCACCAGGGAGAAGAAACTTTTAAAACACTTTGCAGCCGGGGCTGCCTCCGCGCGTCCAACGCTCACGATCCTCCTTTCCCCTCTTCGCGGGTCGGCGCCTGTGGCACCCCGGCGGCACCCCGCGACACCCCTGCTGAGCCAGGGGGACCCTCACCTTGCGCAGCCCGCGCCCCTCCCCTACTCCCCACCCCAACTCCCGCCCCCTGCTCGCCACCGCTGCCGGCTGGGGTCCGCTGCCGTTCAGCCGCCCGCAAAGCTCCTTCCACTGCGGCCACCCAGTCGGCCTCCACCCCGCTGCGTCCGGACTTTCCGCTGAGTTCTCGGGGATACGGAGCGAGGGCACCGGGGCAGGACGAGCCGCGCGGCCGGAGACTGCCCGTGATGGCCGGAGCCTGGCTCAGGTGGGGACTCCTGTTCTGGGCAGGGCTGCTAGCGTGGTCTGCGCACGGCCGAGTGCGGAGGATCACGTACGTGGTGCGCCCGGGCCCGGGGCTGGCGGCGGGATCCTTACCTCTGGCTGGGCCCCCACGGACCTTCAACGTCGCTCTGGACGCCAGGTACAGCCGCAGCTCATCGGCCACCTCCAGCCGCTCCTCGGCGGGGCCCCCAGCCGAGCGGACCCGGCGCACCAGTCAGCCTGGCGGTGCGGCCCTGCCGGGGCTGCGATCACCGCTGCCACCCGAGCCAGCGCGTCCAGGGGCGCCGGGCCGGCAATTCCACTCTAAGGCCGGTGCTCAGCCCGCAATCACACGCTTTGCCAAACATGGCAGGCAAGTCTTGCGCTCCAAAGTGCAGCAGGACACCCAGAGCGTCGGGGGCTCCAGGCTGCAGGTTCAGCAGAAGCAGCAGTTGCAGGGGTAAGCCCACGCTCTGCCCTCCTCGCGCGCGGGGACTCGCCAGGACCCGGGGACTGTCTCCTCCCCACCGGGGGCGCTGCGGGAAGGGGCGAGAGCTAGGGAAGCCCGCTTACTTTTACTGGAGTTTAACTCCGAGTGCATTGTTTTGGAGCTGCTGGGGAAACACAAAAGACATTTATTTCTTCCCCGGGGCGTAACCTCCTGTGCACAAACCCTACTGCTCCCGGACTATGGGCGTAAACATGAAGTCACTAGAGCTTAATCCCAAGGCATCAATTAAACTCCTTGCAACTGGGTTTTTATTTTTGTTTACCTAATGAAAAAGGGATTGTGAGTGAAAGTTGGCTTTAAAGATCCAGCTCTCCTTGGGCATCCTGGTAATTGTAGACTTGAGTTTCCTGGCACCTGTGGGGTCGGTAGTCCTACCATGGTAGGGGTTGGGGTTAGTGACACTCTTGGCATGGACAGCAGAGGGGCTTGGAAAGTTTGTGATTTGGCATCCCACTGCTTTCTTCTCCCCATCAATCACAAGTTGGGATGGGGGCTACTTAATTTGGACATTTGTCTTTTCTCCTGCTACAGGGCTGGATCTCCTGGGGGGGGGTGACCTCACTTTTCTTTACATTTTTTGGGGGTGTTTCTCTCTGAAGCCAAGTGAGCCCAGAGAATATGCAGACTACATTTGACTCTTAATTTGAGGGTTAAGACGACCATTAAATTGGATTTTTATTCTCTGTCTTTGGTATGCAGTGTCCTTTTGGCTCCTCCATCTTTCTCAGGTGAATGGTCCCTTACCTTTTCACTTGGGTAGCTTTGGGTTGGGCATCCTGAGTACTCTTCAAGGAATGTGGAGGCAAGAGATTGGCTTCTCAGGAATGCTCTGAAAGCTTGAGTTCTTGGGAAGGGAGCATCACTGGACTCAGGGGTCTCGTTTTATTTCAGAATCAACGTCTGTGGAGGTCAGTGTTGCCATGGCTGGAGTAAGGCTCCTGGCTCTCAGAGGTGCACCAAACGTAAGTTATTGAACTCACAGCATTCTTTCACAATGGGCCAGGTTGGGCTGTATGTGTGTGTGTGTGGGGGGGGCAGGATGGGGTGAGAGGATTCTACAGGGATCTCTTGAAGAGGCAGGCGCTGCTCTTTGGAAGTCGAAATCTGAAATTCAGTCCATCTGCAGCCTGTATAACCATCAGGGAAGGACTGGGTTATGAGGGTCTACCAGCATTATGTTATCCAAGATTTCTCTGCACTCACCCCAGGAGTTCATCATAGAATGACATCTCCCATCAATTAATGGTATTATTTTTATTAACAATACTGATAGATATGAGAACACTGAAGAATATTCCTTAGAAACATTGTAAAGTTAAAGATGAAGCTAAATGTATATTGAGGGCCCCTCAACAAGTTAGCTGAGAATAAAAAAAAATACTTTCATCCTAGGAAAAGTAAACATTAACATTTTTATTATTATTTTTTAAAAATTGTTTGTATGGGTGTTTTACCTGAGTGTATGTCTGTGTTCCATGCTTGTGCCTACTATATGTAAAGGCCAGAAGAGGGTGTCAGATTCCCCAGAACTAGAGTTATAGATGGTTATTTGCCATCATGTGGGTGCTGGGACCTGAACCCAGGCCCTCGGCAAGAGCAGTCAGTGCTCTTAACTACTGAACCATGCCTAGCCCCTAAAGTAAGCATTTTTAGATGTTCTCTTTGTAGAGCTTGAGCTATTATTAATGTGAACTGGAGTTCAAAATCTCAGCTGCTATTGACATATGCTCTGTAACTAAAACTCAGCAGTGTGCCTTGCATATTAGTTTGGGTTTTATGATACTGATGGGTGAGTAAAAACTTGATGTAATCACTGTGGTGACTTTGTTTGTTGACAAATCCCTTTAGTTTATGAGGTAAACAGAAGGGTTTTAAGTGGATGTCAAGGACCCATCTCTGTGTTTTAGGATTTTGGCTATGATCAAGGAGTAATGGCTGACTTAAAGATCTCTGGAGGGCCAAACTTCAGCTAGATCAGAAATGTTTTGGCTTGTAGGCATTGTAAGTCATATATATATATATTTATATATATATTTATCTCAGGCTGGCCTGGAACTCACAGAGATCTGCCTACCCCTGCCTCCTGAGCACTGAGATTAAAGGTGTGTGCCATCAATACCTAGATCTACTTTTATGTTCTTAACTTCTTAGATTACACTTGATAGAACTGACAGATGTGGCAGCAATGTTATCATGTGTTATGATTGCTTCTCTTAGTAAATGCATCTACCTCAGATCTGCTATGACAGGTTCAGCCTGTAGCATGGTGGGTAACCCTCCATGACAGCACCGAGGCAGTGACATATTGCTATGTAAAGATTGAACATACAGTCAAGGTGTTGGGGAGATAGCTTACTTGGTGAAGTGTTTGCTATGCAAGCATAAAGGCCTGAGTTTGATCCCTAGATCCTGTCTTAAAAAGCTGGGAGGCAAAGATCCCTGGAGCTCACTGGCTAGTCTAACCTCACTGACTGACCTAGTTGGTAAGTTCCAGGCCAATGAGGGGGTCCTGTCTCGAAAAACAAGGTGAAAAGCTTCTGCGGAATGACATTCAGGGTTGACCTGTGGTCTCTACATGTATAGCATACACATGCACATGTACTGGTACACATGTCCACTCACACAGACACTCACACACTCACCCCAGACACATACAAATCAATAGAGCCTGTTGGTGTGTGCTCTAAGGTTTCATGAAAATTTCTTGGCAAGTAGCAGAATGCCTTTTCTGAAAAGGGGTATCTCCAAAGGTCCCCTTTTTCTGGGGGCTCAGGAGTCCCAAGAAGCCCTAGAAAGAGACTCTCTTGGTAGTGAACATTTGAATCATGGCTTCCTGCTTCTCCAGGCCAGGTAGGCAAGAACACGTATCTGCCTCTGTGTAGTTGGTTCTGCTCCCTGCAGGTCCAGAAAGAGGGGTCACTGGCCATTTGTGGGTCTCTGAGAGAGTTAGTGCTGCACAGTTATGGTTGGACCTGGAGGAAGCGGCTGTACTGTGTTCATCTCATGATACCTGGGACATACACTTCTGGCTCTGGGGTAGATTTGCCTTATGACTGGGGAGGGGGCTGTAGGTGACACTGAATCTAGACAGTTCAGCACCACTGTCCTTCCTCATGCTTTTCTGACCACTGCTAAAAACTCCAATCACAACTTCTTCCAGGAATGTTGTTGAAGCAGAGCCCAGGCAGCTGAGCATACCATTCAAAGTGTAGCATTTATGAGATGAGTGCTTTTATTTTTTTAAAGCTAATGTTTTTACTTATGTGCTTATTTTATAGTGATACACTCTCTCTCTCACACACACACACACACACACACACACACAGGGATGGGGGTGGGGTGGGGGGGAGTGTCAGATCTTCTTGGGTTACAAGGTAGTTAGTTGTAAGTAGCTCAATGTGGGTGAACCCAAGTCCTCTGGAAGAGAATCAAGTGTTCTTAACTACAGAGTCATCTCTCTGGTCCAGAGATGGGTGTTTTTAATGGGAGTCTTATTTCAGGTGTGTTCTGAAAGATAAAGTAACCAGTGTCTTTAGACAGGACCAGTGGAGTTAGCATTGGTACCATCCTCTTGCATTCACGGATGAGCAGCATGATGCCAGAGAGGCTTAGGTTTAGAAGACGGTGTTTGGAAGACTTGTGTGGCTTTGAGGAATTCACCTGGTCTGTCTGATTATACACTTTCTTCTACAGAAATGACTAAACTAAAACCAGGCTCCTCTGTTGGATTGTTGAAGGTGTCAAGGTGAAAAGGAATGGATGTGAAAACCATGCTAAGACCAGGGACTTTTAGAGTTTAGTTTTGCATCAAGTCAAGTAAACTCTCATTTATATGTTTCATGACTCTCTTCTTTCCCTGTGTATGCATTACTTTAAAAAAAAAAAGTCATGTGGATGATTTTTTTCTACTACAGTGTGTATCTATTATGTTTGGGGCTAAAAGTTTGGGCCAAAAGGAGTGTTTGGGACTTTGATTTTATTTGAATATGAGTTTATATATACTGAGATTTGTTAAGGATGGGGCCCAAGTTCAAACATTAAGTTCATTTGTATATATGCTTTATATATAACCTGAAGGTAATTTACACAATATTTTTAGTGTGCTTGCATTTTGACTGAACTGTTTCAATGAAGTAAGGTATGGAATTTTCCACTTATGGTGTCTGGTTGGTACTCAGAAAGTTTTGGATTTGGGATTTTGGTCTAGAGATGCTCATTCGGTCTTCCTGTAAGTCATTGTGTTGTGTACCTTTGAGTGATTTATTTTGAAAAGGCTGTAAAAGAGACCAAATATGGGGCATGGGGACATAACTCAGTCAATAAAGTACTTGCTATGGAAACATGAGGAGCTAGGTTCCAAGCTTTGGCACTTACAGCTGGCTATGGTTCTATGAGCCTGACTCCAGCTCTGGAGAGCTGGAGACAGATGGATGTTTGGAGCTTGCTGGCTAGACTGTCTACACAAATGGGTAAGCTCTGGATTTAGGAAAGTCACAATCTCAACAAACAAACAAACAAACAAACAGTAGAAAACAAAGAAGGAAGACATCTACCTTTGGCTTCTGCATGCACTCATACACACATGTGCAAACTCACACTTACCCAAGCCCACACATACATGTGAATTTACACACATACACAAACACACACACCCACACTCAGACGCCCCCCCCCCATTACATATTATCTCTAGTTCCCTTTTTGTTAAAGCTTGCTCCTTGGGGGACAGCACTTTAAAGTATTAGTAAAATGGGTGGGAATTGACCGTATCCTTTCGCCAATTTTCATCAGTGTAACTACTTCAGTAAATAGCAGTGATATTCAGATGACAAAATAAATTGATGTGCAATTCCCTTTCTCTCTTTTATCCTTAATATGTGAAGCTTGAACAACTGTACTTGAATGTAATTTGTTATGCAAGAATCCAAAACCATTGATGTGTGTGTCAACATCACAAAATGTATGGGTGCATTGCAATGTATAACCCATGGTATTTAATAGTTATCATATTTTAAGGGTAATTTAAAGGGTTTACATGGGTTATGTCAACTGAGCCAGAAGAATCTGTGCAGAGGAGATTGGATGTGTTTGTGGTCTTCATTATTTGATTAATTCAGTGAAGAACACAATGTATTCCTTTGGGCTGGCTTGGATTGCTTTGAGTTGATTGAAACTTAATTTAAATGTACTGTGGGCAAATGCTTCTGAAGATGGAAGATTTAGTGAACCTTAAATTGCAAATCAGAGATGAGAGACACACAGGCAGCAGATCCACACGTGGCAAAGAATGTCTCTGTGCAGGCAGCACGGTGGTCCTGGGGCTCCAGCAACCCAGTCCATGTGTGGAGATGCCAAACTACACATTAATGGTGCTTTTCCACACAGACAGGCAGGCAGGCAGGCAGGCAGGCAGACCGGCTTTCTTCCTCCCCTCTCTCCCTCTCTCCCTCTTTCCCTTTCTCTCTCTCTGTCTCTAGGAGTTTGTACTCATAGCATGGGATATGTTTTTCTAGTGTTTAATATTGGGGATTGTTGGTAGTGATTGGGGCTCCAGCAACCCAGTCCATGTGTGGAGATGCCAAACTACACATTAATGGTGCTTTTCCACACAGACAGGCAGGCAGGCAGGCAGGCAGGCAGACCGGCTTTCTTCCTCCCCTCTCTCCCTCTCTCCCTCTTTCCCTTTCTCTCTCTCTGTCTCTGGGAGTTTGTACTCATAGCATGGGATATGTTTTTCTAGTGTTTAATATTGGGGATTGTTGGTAGTGATTGAGTGATAATATCCCATGTGTTCTCTTCCCATTGACATTTACTGAAGGATTTTTGTGGCTTAAGGGACTGTCCTCAGAGTGATGTGTGACATTTTCCCCTTCTCATTTTTGCATTTCTTCCCTTTGTCTAAACCACCCCATCAATGTTTCTTCCAGTCCCTTTTGTCCCTTTGTGCTTTTCCAGAGTTAAT